TTCTTTGCTTTTCTTATATTCCTCCCCCAACATCATTCTAATTCTCCCCAGAAAAGGATGGGGGCGGGGGGGCTCTTCCCTGAAAGAGCTAATTCCTGACTAGAAGCTTATAGTTCTATGGGTCCTGCATATTTTAATCAAAATATTTTAAACAGCTGAACACTCCTATTTAAGGCTCTATGCCGCTAGACAAAGAGTGAGCTCATAGGCAAATCTATGTAGATGTATGATAAATGACCTGAAAAACAGGTTCTTTATGTCAGCAGCAAAAGAGGGCCCAGATTAGGCAGACAGGAGTACCATTTTCACTCACCATTTTTCTTAGAAGAGTGCTGTCTTTTTTTTCCTAATTTGCAATTAAATACTTTAAAAGACTAAAGTTTTCATAAAATGTTAAACACAAAATCCTTCCTTAAAAAAAAAAAAAAGATGTGATTAGGGGCCACATTCTGGGTTCCCTTTTCCCTGCCACTCCCACTGCTATGACGCATCACGGCAGTCATGCTGGGATCTCAAATAGTTTCCCATTAGGTGAAGGCACTCTGGAAAGCGGCTCTAAGCGATGTGTCAACTGAAGCTCCGGTGAGCTACCTGCAGTGTATCAGGGTAGGGCAGGGTGGAGGGATTGAGTTGCTTCCTCTGCAATCTCCCTGTGAAGGTAATTATCACACTGATCCACCAACCAGAGGATTTGCCTCATTAAAGTTTACAGATAAGAGGTTTTACAATAATCACTATAAATAATGTATCAATTATTCTTCAGCTGACTCTGCTATGGAAGAGCCCTTCCAACATGCAGCTTTCAGAAGGTCTCAGGGCCTGCCTACTGCTAATTCACCTGTCCTCATCCTTGAGTCTAGGAGTCAGGAACATTTAGGAATGTTGCAGTCATTTGCATTGCTTTGCATCGTACAAGTGTCAACAGCTACGCTTTGGGAAAGATTTAGAATCAAGGGCTTAACAAATAATCTTAACCTCCAGCTCCTCTTCCTGAGGCTCGAAGCTGTAATTGTTGAGGTTAAAACGTGCAGTCCTCTAGACACATGGTTCCCAAATAAATTCTCGTCTTAAAAGAAGGCTACCAAGCATGTTGTGAGATACCGCTTTGTGCTCTGCCCGGCTCAGCTGTCCCGTGGAACGACCACAGTCCATTACCTACAGTTTATCATCCTGACGAAAGGCGAGGAATGTGAATGTGAAAGCACTAACAATTCCACCCCTGGTGCTTTGTTCTTTTCTCTCTCTATATTAAAACCGACAAGATTAACCCAAACGCAAACTGTGGAGCACAGTTCAAGGGGCTATTCAATCAGGGGTGAATGTGCATTTGTTTACCGACAAAAATAAGAATTTCAGGCACAATGGAAGGCAGGCTGGCTTATATATGTTATTGAATGGACTGTTTAAACAGGACTATGCATTGTAGTTTATTTTATCAATCTCAGACAGGTCCGTATTTATTCAGAGCCTGTTGTGGTGCCCATGTATTATAGGTTATCTGGATATTATCCAGCCATTCTTTTGCATCACCCCAAGTCAATCAATATCAGGAACTCTGTATTATGTAGGGGAAAATTACATGGGAAAAGAAAAATGCTTTGTTAGCTAAGTAGTGTGTGACATATAGGGAATAGCAACCTTTGATATAAGAAACTAATGCCTGGCTGAAATTTTCAACCAAGTCAGTGTAATTCATTCTTAAATGCCATCGCAATACAGGTTTGCTCACTGTAAAGTGAAATTCGTATAAAAATAAGGGCTGCGTATTTTATTTTGGCTTTAAGAACATCATACCTGGAAAGAACTGTTCTACTGAAATGTTATTTCGGAACAGAAGCCAGGTTTTGCTATTCTGTCCTGAATTTAAAAAAAAGAAAGAAAAACCTTAACCAATCTAAATGGCTTACAACCAACCCGACTTTCCCAGACCCTACTGCCGCAATGTGAATTCAGCAGGGCAGACGCTAATGTTCCAGCATACAAGATTTCTTCTGATTACTCCATGAACTCTCAGGGATGGGGCAGCAGACAGTGTGATTAAAGTAGTTATGGAGACGGTGAATTTACGAAGGATTTTCTGGACCCTGTATTCAAACAGCTGCTGCATACTCCGTGTCCACCACCTGCTAAAAAAAGCTGACCTCCAAATGAAACAAATCCAATTACTGATGGTTGCTTCATTACAAACGAATTGTTCCGTAGTTCATAGGAATGGACGTGAAACTTCAATGCATGTGATTACCTTCCTGCAACATCATATTTACTGATGGAGACTCTTCCCTGGACATAGATATGCGACTTCCACAAACAAATCAAGCCCCTGGCACCAGGGGTTTTAAGCATCACGAAACTTAGGACAAGGCTCTTTCATATCATTCCTCCAGGAAGAAATTTTCTAATTCCTCAAGCTAGCATTCAGCTGCATACTTTGTGAAATAGACCTTTTCCAGGGACAAACTATCCAGAGTCCTCTAGGCAAGCCACTATAGTGAGAATTTTTAAAGAAATTCCACCTTGAGGATGGAAGAACCACACCAACTGCAGTATCAGTAGGGCAGGCAGGTAGGTTTCTCCAAAATACAGGCCTCTGGCAGGTCTAGGGAGCCCTGGTGGTGCAGCGGTTAAGAGCTCGGCTGCTAACCAAAAGGCTGGAAGTTCAAATCCACCAGCTGCTCCTTGGAAGCCCTGTGGGGTGGTTCTACTCTGTCCTCTAGGGTTGCTATGAGTTGGAATCGACTCGACGGCCACAGTTTTGTTTGCTTGTTTTAGCAGGTCTGTAAATCTCTGGCCACAGCACAGAATTAACCCTAATTTTCATTATCAGGATGGCGAGTCACTATCGCCACAGCACAGAATTAACCCTAATTTTCATTATCAGGATGGCGAGTCACTATCAGTTTTCGTCCAACCCTCCCCCCAAGAAAAAATTACCAAAAAAATGATTTCTAAACATTAGGTTGAAATAAACATTGTTCTACCTTCTTCCCCCAAGAAGGTTATTTCCAACCCTCCTCCCAGAAACACAAAGACTGTAGAGTTAATAATGCAAGATGTCCACGCCGAGTTAATCGTTGGAAGGGTTAATGAGAATTTCCTTCCATTAGATTTAAATATAAATATTAAATCTTGATAAGAAAAAAAAAAAAAAAACCCGCGCCCAGAGAGAGCCCCCATCAGTGAAAGTGGAAAGTCGAGCAGCACACGCAGTCTGGAGGGGGAGGGGGCGAGGCCTGGCGCCGCGAGCATTGCGCATGGAAGAGTGACCTCTGTAGGAATAAGGCGCGCACTGGCTCGGGCCTCGCTCCCGCCGGGCTCCCCCACCTCCGTCCTGACTCCAAACCCGGTCTCTCCCGGACGCCACGGGCCAGCGACTGCCTGCAGGTCCCGAGCCCGGCGCTGGAGGCCATCATCAGGTGTCTCACAATTTGGTATCAGGGGTAAGAGCTCCCTAACGGCACTTTCTCAGGAAACAATATCTGACTGTTGAAAAAATCCATACAGATCAGGCTACTGGAAAGGAGGTTGTATTAAGTAACTAACTTATAAATATGAGCAGTGTTTGAAAGTGCCATCCGAGGCCCAGGCGAGAATTTCTGTTTAATTCGGTTTACAACTGTGACCTTTCTCGCCCTTTTAATTGGGAATTCTTGGCTAATATTTTGGTGAACTTAAAATTTACCGCTTTCAGAAAGAGTGGATAAAATACCGTAATTAGGATGTGGTTTCTAAATCAATCATCCACGTCTTTATTCCTAAATCCATGTCCAACACGCTCAACTTCAATAAAGCCATTGATTTTGCTTCTAGTACTAAACGCTTACTTCAGAACTCGCCAATGCCTCCATACTTTTTTCAAGTTTCCTGAGGCTAAAATTCCATAATTCTGTAAAACATTTTTTTTGGATGTATCTCGAAATGTATCCCGAGAATGAGGTAATATGCAATACTGAATGCACAGATGATTAATTACGAATATGGCCATTTATATTTGGGGATGTACTGCATTTTCTACACGCTGAATTTACATCACTTTCGCTACCCAAACTGAAAGTCTCTACAAGGCCGCCTATCTTCTGGCTTTACCGTTGGATAAATGAAAGTCTGATCCCAAAAGGTCCAACTCCTGCCCAGTTAGTTTCCCCAAACGCCAAGGCTTTGGGGAGCAGTGTTTACCGGGTAGTACCCTAAGCTTTTGCAGAATGCGTCCTTAAAATCAAGGCGGCTATCTCCACCGCACAGTTTGTAGCCATTGATTTACAAACGAAGGAGGCGACCAACGTGCCGGGGGCTGAGATAAGAAACCTAAAGCACGTCTCCCGGGCAAGGGGTGCAGGGAGCGAGGAGAGGGCTCGCCGCCCGAGTTCTCTCACCGAGCAGGAGAGCTCCTGGCGCGCCCTGGGGCTGGCGGCGACCCGACTACGCGCGGGCTTGCGGGCGCTGCCAGCGCCGGCGGCGCCGGGAAACCAAGGGCTCGCCTTTCCGAGGGTCGGCTCCACCGCCCGCCCCGCGAAGCCCAGGCACCGAGCTGTCGCGTGCGTTTCTCGGAAGGGCCACATCCCCGCCTTTCTTGCCAGCCCACCCCTCCGCTGGAGCCCGCCAGCCCTCCGCTCTGGCTGGGATTATTTGTGGCCATGTTCTTCGTCCTCAGAAAGAATCGAGGGTCAGGTATCACCATCGGACACCTTCCCGGACGTGACATCCGATCCGCCAGAGGCTTTTAGCGCCGGAGAGTGCCTGGGGGGAGGGCGCCCTTTCGGGCCGGCACTCGGGCTCCAAAGTCAAGCGAGGTGTCTCCACCTAGTGAAATGTGGCAGCGGGGGTGGTGCGGGGAGCTGGCTGAAGCTCCAAAAAAACCTGGCTCCGCGGGGCGGCCCGGCGGCGGTAGGCGCGTCCGTGCCTCTCCTCCCTCCCAAAGGACACGGCGCGGCGGACCAGGGCTGGGGCTCGCGGGGACCGTGGGGCGCGGGCGGGGTTTGGGGAGAATCGCGGGCGCAACTTACTTGGAGTTCGAGGAATTCCAATAGATCGGCTCTAAAACTATCGATCTGGACATCGCAGTTCTGCATAAAACCATCAAAACTCCCCAGCAGTACTTCCACACGGAGTCCCTCCTCACGGCCATGGCCACACCACTCCCAGCTCCGCGCGACCTCCGGGCCTCGGAGGGGCGGTGGGTGGGCCCGCTATCCCCAATCCTCCTGGGCAAAAAAAAGGGGCACGAACGCAAGACCCCGCGAATCCGGAGCGACCAGGGGCAGGATCGCGCGCCAAGCCCGCTTCCAGCGGCTCACTGAGTCCTCGGGATGCGCTCGCCCTCCGGGGGATCCTCAGGGCGCCAGGCGGGGGCCGCGGGAGCCAACGCTCGGTGCGCGGCGTGGCGGCGGGCTCGGGGCTCCGGGTCGCCGCGCCGAACGCAACTCGGAAGGGCAACTCCCGTGCGAATCCAGGGTGCCGGGCGCATCCACGGCGGCGCGCTCGCGGGGCGTGAAGAGGGACGCGCGGCGCGCTGGGGTCTAAAAACAAAAGGCAAGAAGAGGCGAGGCGGCCGGCTGAGAGGAGAGGAGTGCAGCCGGCGGCGCGAGGCTCTGCTGGGTGGGCGCTCCGCCCGGAGAAGGGTCGCGTCGACTATAGATCCAGAGGGGCGGGCAGCGGCCCGAGTCCGCGGGCGCCGCGTCGGCGCGATCCCATCTTCCAGTCTTCCGAAGGAGGCGCGGCGCTCGAGGGAGACCTCCGGGACGCGTAGGAAGCAGCCCGATTCTTGCTGCTCGTCAGGGACCTGCGCTCCGCGCTCTCGGCCCCCGAATGCGGGAAAGAAGGAGCCGCTCTGTCCTCGCTTGCGGACGGGGGCTGAGTGCTGCCGCCGCTTTCCCCGCTGCTCGCTGCGGGCCCGCCGGGACGCGCGTGCGTGCCTTTGTGTGTGCGGTGAGTGCGCGCCCCGACCCAAGGGGCTGGGCGCACCGCGGCTCGCTCCGCTCCGGCCGCTCCCGGCGCCGCGCGCGCGTCTCCGCGACGGAAAGCCAGCGCCGCCGGCGGGCTGTCAGAGCGATATAAACGCGCGGCCCCGCCCCGCGCCGCCCAGCCTATTGGCCAGCCTCGCCGGGGCCGCGCGCTGGTTGGCCGGGCGCCCTGTCCTTCAGCCGCCGACATTCGATCGCGGTGAGGCGGGGCGGCCGTCTGACAGGTAAATGCCCGCCCCCAGCGCCGCGTCCCGGGGAGCCCCGGCGTTCCGGAGCGCGGCCCAGTGCAGAGAAGGGTAGGGACCGGGAAAACTCTCCTTCCCGTCTCCACAGGGCGCCCACTCACCCCTTAACACGGGTCCTCCGCCCGGCCCTCTGGGAGACGCTGGTGGGGAAGACGTTTAGAAAGAGGAACGACCCGGAGTGGGGGAGAGAAAGCATGGAAGAAAGCGAGGGGCGACCACTCCAGGCCTCACCTTTCCCTCGTCCTCTCTGCGCCCCTCCCTACGACACATTCCTGTCTTCCTACCGTCATGCCTCTGTTTTCTGGCAAAATGGCTAACGTCGACACTCAGATAAATGGGACGGCGAAACTTTAAGTTTTGCCAAGTCGAAGGCAGTAGATTTGCTTTTGGATTTTCCTTCTTAAAATGTTTTTCCTTTTTCTATAGAACTTCTACACACCCTGCCTCGCCCCTCCCGCACGCATACACACCCATCCAGCCTCCCGGCTGCCTCCGCTGTGTCTCACGAGGCCTCTTAATGATGGGTTTCAGAATTTGTTTTGTTACAAAACAATCAGCTAGGAGCCTACCTAAGTCAATAGGGCCTGGAAATGCAAAACGACTTCAAAAGGACTTGGCGGAATTCGCGGCAGATAATTAGGGGCTCTCGACTTGGGTGTGAATATCTTCGCCCTCCCCTGTCTGTCAGGTTCGGTGTCACTTTCTCCGCTCCACACTTTTCTGGTGGGCGTTTTTCTCTTCCGCTCCACACTTTCCCCGAGAAAACTGCACCGGGGAAGCGTTCACTGCAAACGCAGTCCCGGCAGACGCAAGCCAGCTCGACGAGACGCTCACGCTTTCCCGAAGGTGATCGGGGATCCACAAAGTGACGAGGACAGACACCCGTGTGTGATGCAGAAGTCGATGCATATGCTTATTTGCAATGTTTCAAAGACTCAGATGAAGAGGAGGCAGGAAATTCTTTATTACTTTGATTCTCTGTTAAGTGCCTGCCTAAAGAGCAGCTTTGAGACTCCTTGACGATCCGGAGGGCGTGCTCAAATCAATGATTTTCCACGGACCCACAGCGCCCACTAGCGACCATCTTTACCTCTCTGTATCCTGACGCGGAATCTAATCAAATCAGAAACTATGAAAGTATGATAATCTTTTAAAACAGCCAACGGCAGTGAGGACGTGGTAGAAATAAGGCAAAGTACAACTGTAAAATTCACAGCTTGGAAAAAAATTAAGCAGAATAAAACGTGCTGGTATACCCACAACGTGTTTTTTAAAAATCCTGTCCACGTCAGGATTTCTTTACGTTTCAAACGCAACAAACCGGACAGTATTCCTACAATTTGTATTTCTTTTTTTAGTCAGCCAATTTAGCCACTAAGCTAAATTCAAAAGAGACAATATATATGGTGAAACACCTCGTTAAGATACTAGCTAATTTTTTTCACTCGTTTTCTTAATCTTTGAAGATTTTTAGGGTGCGTTAAGTATTAGTTTTTGGAAACATTAAGTACGTTTCAGCTGGGAGTGTTAAAATGTTATAAAGACTAGTTTGTTAAGATCGAAAACACTAAGACGTGTATAAATACACTTATGTTTTTACAAATACGTCTTTGAGAAGAAAACTTTTTCCCCCATAATTGCTAGTTTCAAACAAGCCTTCAATTTGAAGAATGAAATTTTTAAAAGAAGCTCGGAGACGACATGCCGCTTCGCAGTCATCCCAAGATTCCTAGGAAAGACTAAAAAAGCAGGAAGAGGCAGGAGGTAACTTTAAAAAGGACTAGTGTTTAATCAGGTTAAAACATTTAGGGAATTCATTTGAAATCTAACCAAGTTAGCTTAATGATCTTTTGAAAGAACTAACCTGAGTGTATCAGTACAATCAGTGTTTGATGTTTAGCAACCTTACATTGTGAAATCGGTGATCTCTTAGCTCACTACACCCTCTCAAGTGAAGTAGAGGAAATAAAGAAAATCTGCATTGTCTGAAAACAGACGCGGCTTCCAAAACTATCGTTTTCACTAAATCAGATAATCTCATACCCAGAGCATTGTACCTTGAGAAAAATGTAAATGTACATTTTAAAATTGCTTCCTTTAGAAGTGTGTATTTGACCCAAAAGAAATCCTACACGATATCTATTGTTTGTATAACTTTAGTGTGTGTGAATATGCATGACTTACCTTCAGTAAATAAGGAATAATTAGGGACCAGCTGTAAAGACTATGTGAGGAGCATTAGCAAGCAACTCAAATTTCCACTGCTGTTTTGATATTAATTTGGGTAATTAAAAGCATTATTGAACATACATCATGCCAAGCCAAAAAGAAAAAAGTCATATTGGACATGTACAAGTCTATGTAAAGCAGAAATTCTAAAACACCCCAAAAAGAAGCAGCAATCACATCCATTTAATCCTTGCTGGATTTGGACCTAATTTACAATTCTAGGAGAAATTTGGTTACTTTTGAAAATCTGTAATTTTACCAGGACGTATTTAACCCCACATCAAAAAATGATGTTTTATTTCAGCAGCAGAAGTTACTTGGTTTACTCCAGTTAAGGAGCAAGTTTCTAAATGTAAAATTCATGAAAAGGTTGGTAATTTCAGATAAAGGTGATTATAAAAGTTGATATCAAGTTAAATTCATGTAGAATGGGGTGGCAAATATAAAAGTTGGATAATTCCGGTTCGAAAAAAAAATAGGAGGGCAACATATTTGCCCACAAAAATGTACCTTACGAGATTATGGTCCTACCTCTTTTGAATTCCTAAGCATGTTTTGGTCTTTAGAACTTAGGGTTAATAGTTTCTTATATATTCCTTGTAGTATTCCATTCTAAGATGCTCAAGAAACATACTTAACTTCTGTAAAAAAGTCTTATCTAAATGTAAAGCTGCAGAAAAATTACTGAAATTTGATACATGTTGATTAAACGTTGTCAAAGAGAACTTTCTATGTGGCTGCAAGCCTCTCCTAAAATTGTGTCCTCTTGCTTCCTGGCACTGTAGTTGATTTCATACCAGTCACTGAAGTTTTTACAACTATTTGGTCTATCATATTTTGCCCAGTTTACTCCTGAGGGAAGTGCTTTCTGACCCTAAGGAAGATAAAACCTTTTCTTAAAATCAGCTTTGCTGCACAGCCCTCCTCCACTGATCTGCTTTAAAATGCAGATTACACATTGAAGTCTCTTTAATTGGAGCCTACTTATTTATGAATTTGTCAGGAAAAGTATTAGTTATCAGGCTCTTGGTCAAAAGAATCATTTTTCCTTGTTAAGAACTGGGAAGTTTAGTGACAACTCATTACTTACGGACTGTAACAACTTTTCCAATAGTTGTTTAAATTTAGCTCAATCTATATTTTATAGGATTATTAGATGCGAAAACAGCATGTTGGGGAAAGAAAACAGGAGTGGGTCCAACTGCACCTGGCAATAAGTCTTATTTCCTGATTTGCAAACCAAGAGCTTTGGAGGACCAAATTCCAGCCATCCCATTCCAGGCTGAATTGGGGTGGTGGAGATAAACCAGCACTACCTGTGCATTGTTTTGATCGTATCACTTATTAATACACTAACCTCTCTAAACGTGATTCCCACTTTAAGGACTGATATGATATAGAAATGGAATATTATATATGAAAATAAAAACGGTTAAAGGGCTACTTGCTCTACACATATAAGGGTATCACTGACAGCAGGCGTAAGGAGATAATGACTCTCCTGTTCTGGGTCTATAAAACCATTTTTTGTCCATTTATTCTTCCTTCTTAAGATATTCACCAGCACTTAGAACCAACCGCAGTGATGTATTCCCTTGTTAAATTTATTTTGTCATTTGTCTAATCTGAAGTGAAAGCCTAGAAAATAAGGGAACAATCATTATCCAAATGTGTACAGAGAACAAACCCATTTTATTCTAACCCAAATAACCCAGGGTTAGTAATCGACGGTTGTACCAATCTTGGAAAATTTACTAACACTATTAAAACACACACACACCCGACTGTGAAACCGCTGAGTCAACTGAAGATATCACGTTTTAATGACTGGCTTCAGACTTAAGACTAAAAAAAAGATAAAATTCCAACATCCTCTGACCAGCCCCTGGAGGCTTACAAAAACAGCCATCTTTTCAAAAATGACTTCCAATGAAGTGTTTAATTTATAAATCCAGTAATAACGTCTGTGTAAAGCACGTCCTGTAATTTCATTTACAGGGCATTCAGATGTAAAAGCAAGCATTCTGATTTGTATTACTTTGTAAAATCAAAGTTTTGAGGAAATAACTTGGGGAGTAAAGGCTAGGCTAATTTGCGCACACACACAATCTCGCATTTACATTGGGTCCTCTGCATCCCCCTCCCATTGTTTCCTAGCTCCCCATCAGCTAGTGTTCTCAGGCAGTGCAAGCTAATCACCTTAAATGGCAAGTTTACTACTAAACGTAGAGTGCAGTGTATTAGCAAATAAAGATCTTTTATGTTATTGCACCATTGGTTCTCCACCATCACGGACAAATTACGTTTAAAAAAAAAAAACACTAAAAAAATGCTAGGAATAATAGAGGCCAAAGTTAAGTAATCAAGACCACCGTTGAGAGGCAATTCAAAAAAGTACAGCATATTGCTTGGGCTTCAGCACCAACTCTAGATTTCTAGATTAAAGCCTCCCCTTTTTATCTTCAGTGATGATTTAGGTCATTTTACTGCTTAATGGAGTCCCTCGGGTAGCAAAAATGGTTAAAAAAGGTTGATGGCAGGCCCACCGGGTCATCTACTTCCAAAACATCAGACACTGAAAATCCTATGGAGTGCAGTTCTACTCTGAGACACACGGGGTGGCCCTAAGTTGGAACAGACTCTACGGTAACTGGATTGGTTCTGAAACTGCTTCATAGCACTCTAGTACTCCAGTGTTCGTGAGCCTCTGGAAGAAGGAGAACACTCAGAAGGAACTTCAGAAGACACCACATCTTCAGAATTTCTCATGGCCTGTCATGCAAAACGGGGTTCTGGGTGTAAAGGAGGAAAAAAAGAAACTAAAGGCAGAAGCTTTGGTTAACAGCTTCCAAGAGAGTTAGGTGACAAAATAAGGATCTTCAGTATAAGATGAGGCATTAGAGTTCATATGTAGAGTCCAATTAGTCAGGGGCTTGCTCTACTTCAGAAAATTAAGTACAAAGCCACAGAAAATTCTTATCTAAGGAAAGGTGGTAATACAAAAAAGCTATGGACATATACTAGCACAATGAAACGATTAAGTAGATAACTAAGGAGAGATTTAATTTGCTACATCTTCATAAAGAAAATGCAAGTAGTAAATCTTAAAACTACAAACCCTTTCCCCTATTTGCAAGCATTAAAGAGTCCTCACACCAAACTAATTTAAAGGTTGAGTTTATACAATTGATAATTCTGCAAACTCCACAATATAAATGGCAAAGTCTACATCTTTTAAATACTGTCATAAAAATAAACAGTCATTAGAATTACTTCTATAATGCATTAAGAATAATCTAAAAAACAAATTATGAATAGAGGCATATTTAATAAATTAGGGAACATCTGAACTGCTGATATACTGGGATAGAATTGAACTTTTATAGTATGTACACAAAGGCAGTAGAAACAAATGAAAGAAAACATGAATTAGTACACATTGTTGCAGCACAGGAGACTGGGTGTGTAGTAACAATTACACCCTCCTTCCTGTAGCTTGGCAGAGAACAGTAGTCCATCACCAAGCACAGAACAATCTCACATCTGCAGTGAATCTTCCAGCAGATACTGCAGTACCTCACTACGCAACTTGCTGTTATTTCACACCATATGAGGGAGTAAGAAAATTTAAAAAATTAAAAGGCACACATAAGCTGACTGGAGACATTTTAAGTCCAGGCTACTTTTTTAGATACAATATTTAGAAAATATGTATAGCAAAACAGTTTTTAAATAAACATTTCCCAAAATTTGAATACAGAACTTAGGAATAATGGATCTGCACCAAAAAAGTTACATTAAAAAAAAGTGTAAGAATCATGAAATAATTACAGCTTATATTTAGAGATTAAAAAAAAAAGATTTATAGACAATTTATATTCATTCTTTAGGAAAATAAAGTGAATGTTTGACTTTAGCGTAATAGATACAATGTTTACTAAGTCAGTTCCCACTACAGTTCATGCTTATTTAAAATTCTATCTTTAAAGACATTTAAGCTGCTCGTTTTGTTCCCTACCACAATTAACATTGAAGAACTCTGAACTAAAGCAACAGCGTTTTTCTTAGCATGCACACACAAATATACCCTTTCGTCATCTCATTTAACTTGTTTTCAAATTTTAAACTGTCTCAAAAATATCGGGAAACATTTTCTCTCCTCTGAGGACATGTTTCTGCATCTCAGGTGGCACTTTTACATCCATATCCTCTTCTTGAGTAATGTTTTGATACCAGTAGATTTAAACATATGAAAGGATAAAGGAAGCAGATTTTAGCGTAGAAACGGAAAAAAAATTCATCCATAAAATACCACATGCAAAACAAACCCTTGGAAAAAGTTTAAATGTGCCTGTCCCAAAAATAAACGTGCAAGTACCCTACACTGAAGATGATTTGACTAGCTTAGCCTTTTATAAAAGCATGAAGCTAAGTTCTTTCTGATGACTTATGTTGAAAATAATCTAAGACTCCATAAATTTTTAGAAGCATTTTTTTCCTAGTCTTTAAGTAAGCATAATTTATGGTATAATACTTATATCCTAAAACAGAGGCACAGGTTTGAGGATTTAAATCTTTTTCTCTGGGTGCTGTTAGTCTGTCTTAAAGATAATACTGATGTCATAATTGCTCTATCAGCATAAAGTAGTATTTGTAAAAATTGCAGCCATTAATGTAGCCATGAAATTCTAATTCACAAGTATATTCAATGTACATATAAACCCTATGTTAAAAGTATAAACGAGAAGAGAAGAAATATAGCAGAGTTCAAAGACTTCTAAATTGTTGACCACCCTCTTTTAAGCCTAACAGAACTTTAAAAAAAATTGCTTAAACATAGGAATTTAAGACTTTTACTTTATTCAGCAAAATCATTTATTTACACAACGGGGAATGCTGGTTTGATTTTGTCAATGAAATAAAAACAAATTGAACAGAGACAATACTGAACTGTATATATATTTTCTGTATCAGAGTTGACCAACTGTTTTCCTTACCTGTATCAGGAACATCAAGAGCAACAGTATCACAAGGACACTGGTTTAACAATACACCACACAGGTCCAGTAATACCCTGGGAATTTTCCAATGCAAGTACCAACTTTTCCTTTTTTTATAAATATATAAAAAAACAAAAAGTCAGCAAAACCAGCATTATGGTGTAATAAACAGAGTATAACTCTGAAGTCAGTGAGCCAGTAAAAACCTTATCAGACCATCCATAGTTTACACAAAGCGATCTGCTCTTCTTCAGACCACTAACACAGAATCCAAACAGGTGAAAATACCTCACTTTTCAGAAGACAACAATGATCTGATAAGGATTTGACTTAATGGAAGTTAAGGGGGGAAAAAAGGAATTGCAGAGCATAGCCCCTATTAGAACAAGCTAATTTTCCGTATTTTCCAAATTAAAATAACAAAAAACAAAACAAAAAAACCACTTCAACATGAAGCTACCATACAAAGTTTTTCCTTTTTTTTTTTTTTTTTTTTGTAAAAAGTTCAGAGTTTGCAATTTAATCCTGGGTTTTTAACGAGAAGGAGAGTTTTGGCCTGGACTTCCCCTTGCCCAGGATAATTTTTTGCTCTTCCTTTTGCTGACGTTGTCGCTCTTGTTCTAGTTTCATCCTTTCCTCATGAATCTTTCTTTGTTCTTCAACAATTCTCAACTGTTCTTCAGCCTAAAAGATAAAAGTAAAAATGAGAATCTTCTATGAATTCCATGTCTTCTTTTAGTAATTATTTTGGAAATCAGGTTGTAACTTAAACAATCAAAATGTAAAATAAAATATAGCACGTTTCTTTAAACTGCCTAAGGTCACACAGTAAGCAGAAGAAAAACATCCAAGTCTCTCAAAACTGAAGAAATTAGACAAGAACCATTTATTTCCATTGTTCTTACACATTTTCTGCATTTTGGTTTTCATGAAAAATGAGTAAACTGTAGGAAAAGGATTTCTACATTTTAAAAATAGAAAGCAATCTCCACAATTCATTAACTTGAGATCAGTCTAAATTTTGTTCTATTACCTCTTTATCCGTACCTTCAGGACATGCAAAGAACACACTGCCAATTATAAACAACGTATGGATTTATTCAGAGCATGTCATCTAGAACACTGTAGAAAGGTATAGAAAAATTCAAGAAAAAACCCCATTAGGGCTGCACTGTAATGACAATATGTGACCAAGAATCACTGAAGATTTCTTTCCCTGCACAGAAAAAATTAGGAAGCCTTTCTGACCTGCTATCTCATTTCAAATGGACACTGGTTTAATTAACTCCTTTACTACCTCCAAATACTTCAACCTCAAGCAACCAACTTCCTTCCTGCATTCTCTACAGGTAATTTCCTCTCTTTAGCAGAAAATTTGGGCCATTCTGAGGCGCTCCTCCTTCAGGCCTCTCCTCTCCCTTCCTGCCTTCCAGAGATACCATGCCCACTTCCTCAATTTGGCAATGTGTAGAGATGATTGTAGCTGTCATAACTGGGTGGGTGGGCTGGAGCGGGGGAAGGCTGCTAACGGCATCTACTAAGCAGAATACAGGGACATCACTAGACATCCTACAATGCACAGTACAGCTTCCCACAACAAAGAATCACCCAGCCCCAAATCTCAACAGTGCTCGGGTAGAGAAAGCCTACTTTCTCTTGCATTTTCAATCTGTCATCACTGAGTTGGCCTCCCTCCCCTCCTCTGTTTGACCTCCATCACTGCAACCTATGAGCTGCCTTCCTGTTTCAAAAGTCAAATTTTAAGAAGTTGTTGCTTCCATCTCCATGATTCTACTGAAATTGTTTTCTAGATGATCAAAAACAAATGTAGTGGGTGACCTTTCACTTTATTCATTCTTCTGTTCACTTAAGTCTTTGTACAATTTCCTCTTCTCCCACATATCCGCTAACATACTAAGGTTCTGCACCTGATCAATTCTGCTTATCCCCAATGATATTTTTTGGTTCAAGGAATAGTAAATTCCATGTGACTGGATTACAGTCTTTCATGAAAGAAGAAGATGGGAAAGGTAATGGACCTTGGTATGCAACACAAAAAGTTTAGATTTCACCTTGTGGACAGCAAAAAGAGAAGAAAAACCCAACAATCTTTAAGTAAGTACCAAGAGGTTTTGTTTTATTCTAAGACAGCAGTGTGGGGGTAGACTAAAAGGCTTAGGAGATAGGTGGAAGGGCACAGACCAGAGATGATGAAGATCAGAATTAATAGTAGTGGGAATCTGATAGACAATTGAGGTAGAAAAGGAGAGGAAGATTTCAGGTATTTCTAGCTGTTTATATTCCCACAAGATGGAAAATTCAGAGAGAAGTGAACTACATCTGTTCTCCAAAGCTGTATTTCCAGCTGTCTGCTGGACACCTACCTGGGAGACCATCTATGATACTTTAAAATTCAACATGTTCAATTTTTCCACTCTATCAGCCCTTTCTACCTTCCTTAAACAAACACCCATTGAGTGTATGTCCAGCATTTTATAAGACACCAAGTAAACAGTTCTACTTTTAAACTCCTGAGTTTTTGTGTCGTTGCTGTAGTTGGGTGCCGTCACGTCTATTCCAACTCAGTGACCCTACAGGATATAGCAGAACTGCCCCACAGGGTTTCCAAGGCTGTAATCTTCATGGAAGCAGACTGTCACATCTTCCTCACCTACCTTCCACACTGCCACCTGAATTCTATAGCTTAGTTTTGCCTTTTCCCTCTTCCCTGACATGTTCAAATATGTAGTCACCAAGTTGGTTATTTCTTCTTTTACATTCTCTCACCTAGAGTTTCTTTTCCATTTTCTACTGCCACCATACCAGTTCAGGGCCACACATCTCTGGTAGGCCTAAAATGATTTCCCTGTTTCCAGTCTCTGTCCTTCAATCTGTCCTACACAGTGCTGCTAACCTTTTTTTGAGCATTACTCTCTCTTGTCCTCAAACTTCCAATGATTTCAACTGTCCACAGTATAGCTTAACTTTGTAACTTAGCATGCTATTTACGACTTTCTATAATTTGGCACCAAAGAGTTTCTACTACTCTCTTAAATTATTTTTCTTTCTATCCTGCCCTCTCCATCCTCTGTTCATGCCATTCTTCCCTCCTACTGACACTCTACCTCTGTATCAAAATCCATTTTACACTGCCAGCCTCTTCATAAGACTTTCACTGATAGCTATAACAGAAAGGGTTATTTCCTTCTGTTCATCTTTAATTAATTAATGTCAATCACAGTCTTAATAAATAATCGCACTTAGTATGCGCAAATGAATCAAGATGTAGTAATGGCTCAAAGGGTGTGTGCATACACTGAAATCATTTGGGAAGCTTTTAGCAATATAAACCAACTCACATTTCCTAAGGAAATGTTCAGCAACCTTGAGGAGTCGAGTGTGGACATATTGTAAAGCAGAACCTCAATCCTTGAGAGAAATCTAATTCAGATGACACAGATACTATGCTTTACACCTGTCAGACTGACAGAAATTCAAAGTGAGAACAGCACACGCTCTTGGCTAGTCTGAGAGAAACTAGACACTCCCATACATTGCTAGTTGGATGGCGAAACAGTAATATTCTTAAGAACAACAACTTGGCAATATCTGTTAAAAGTACATCTTTATAATGCTTTTACCCAGCAATTTCATTTTCTGGAACTTATCCTATAAGCATACTTGCACACGTGAAGAACTGATATATTTACAAAGTTATTCATTGCAACACTGTAAAAACAGAAGACTGAAAAAACCCAAATATCCACCAATACGGGACAGGTTAAAGAAATTATGGAATTATGGGGTATCCGTAAAACAGAATACTGCCTGTTTTAAAAAAAAAGGAAAAACAAAACAGGAACTCTCCATGTACATAAACGGAAGAATCTCCAAGTTGTACTGTTAAGTGACAAAAGCAAAGTACCAAATACCATATACAGGAGCAAAAAGGGGAGAGTAAGAATATAAATATTTGTCTCTCTGAATATACATTTAAAAAATCCTGAAAAAATAAACAAAACACATAACTCAATATACCTTCTGAAGAGAGAGATGAGAACTGGGAGAACGGGAAAAGGTAGAGGCGTTACTGTTTTATTTTCTAAAAAAAAGATCTGAACCATGTGATCACATTACCTAATCAAAGAATTAAAAATAAACAAGGTTTTTAAAATAAAGCATTAAATGTAGAAATGTCACTAGACTAAGAGGTAAAGGAAGGGTTTCCTCTGAAAGACACAGAGCATCTCAAGGAAAATGGTATGGAGGAAAAAAACTGGGAAAGGTCATTTCCCTTACCTCTCCCTCCCTCCCTGTAAATCTGGCCAAGAAAGAACACTGTAGACAAACCAGTGGGTCAAGGTATTCCACTAACAATACATGACAAGTTTAGCAAGAGTTAAATAAAGGGGGCTGCCCTTGGCTTTGAGGCGTAGAGAGGTGGGGGGCAGGGAAAAAAGGAGAGAGGCTGCTCCAGGTAAAAACCCCTCCATCGGCAAAAAAGTCTACTCTGGTACCTCCTACCATCCAAGCTTAAATTTAAAACTAATTTAAGTAAACGACAAATATCACTCCCCTTGGCTAAATGCCCAATTAGCGGAAAAGAGTTGCGAGCCCAAAGCAATAATAAGCACTCGTTATTGAATATATATTTTCAGTCTTTAAATGTACAGGAAGAGTTAGATACTCATTTCATAATATAAATATCTTATTGCAGATCCATATTGATATGTCAACAAAAAATGTTAACACTCTTCCCAATCCATGTAATTCTTTGCCTTTTTGATCTATCCAGCTTCTCTTTACTCAGGTTTGCTTTGTTCCCAAGTAAATACTTTCAGATAACTTCCTTTTCACATGGCAGAATCTGTATCTGGTGCCAAAGACCAAAACAGTCTTAAACGAATGGAACAGATGAAAATCCTGCCTTTATATACAGATACTTGTATTTTGTGCATTACAGCTTTAAACTAAGCATAAATGTTATTCAACTGCACCTTGGGAAAAACAAAATCGGGAAGACTAGTCCAACAGAAACCAATCATCTTTCATTTTAATACAGTGGCTCTCCACTGATAAAGCTGTTTTTCCTGTTGGTCTTTCAGTGAAGTGTGGTATGGTTACACACCTTCTCACTTGCTAGTTCTTTCTCTAAACTCTCCTCTCCCTCTGTAGTAACTGTCTTTGATCCGCTGCCTCCTTCCTGCTGACTCTGCTAGCCAGAGAATATCCATTGTGATTCTGCCCTCCCTTTTCTTCTAAAGTTATGCAAAAGAAAGCATTATTCCTATGGTAGTAGGTGTCTCTGTGCAGAGTGAGCAACACTAACCTCACCCCAGGAGTATGTGGAGGACATCGTGGAAGTCAGGAAGAAAGCTAACAGTACTAGAGCCATTAGGGCAGGCCCTGCTAGTCATGCTCAGAACCCTGTTCTTCAGCGTCACAAAGGAGGTTTTCAACCCTGCACTCCACTCATCCCAAAGAGTCACTGCCAAGATGGAGCACACAAACAAAACCAAAATACCCCATTATAACTGAAGAACCATTTACCTCTCCCTGTATCTTCTGCCCCACACCCCTTTACGCAGAGGGCTTACTGCTTAAAAACAGCAAACAAGCAAACAAACAAGCTCTTTTCAAAACATTCGCCTTCTTGCTCCTTAGCAGGTGAGGATACTGAAATC